TGAAGCTTTGGTGGATTCTGGAGTGGCTTATCGTCAAGACAATTTCGAGGTAAAGACGGGCTAGAAGAGGTACATAGGGGTTGGTTCAATTCGAGCATGGATTCGCTAGGTAATTGAGAGTATACCTGTGTAATTCCTTTATATCTTATTAGTGGATTGTTTTGTGGTTGTTGCCCGTGGTTTCTTATCACAATTGGAGGTGCTCCAATTGTGATTTTTCCACGTTAAAATCGTTATGTTGATTTGTCTTGATTGTTTGATTGGGATTGCTTTATTGCTTTAAATTGATACATAATCACAAATCAATATCTAGCGGAGTGCAAAATGTAAAAATGCATTCAAAGTTGCCTGTTCGCTCAAGAGGACATTCCCCCGTTCGAGCGGAGAATGCTGAGTTCCAGAAGTTTGGTGAGTTTGCAAATATACTGTGATTTGTGTTTTCACGCTCGGGCGTCCATTTCCCTGCTCGAGCTTACATCCTGGTTTGGAACACGTCATATAGTGTCCCCGCTCGAGTCCCCGCTCGAGCGTCCATTCTCACGCTCGAGCGGGCCTCACGATTTTAGATTCTATAAATTCCTATGTTGCTCCAAATCTAGGGTTACTTCTTCAGATCTTCTTTTTGGATATTAAGGTTTATATTTGGGGATATTTTGCTAGTTTTCTTTGATCTTTAATTGAGTATTCAACTCATGGGTTAAGAAGAATACATCAAAGGTTTGTTTGTTCATTCTATACAGAAGAGAAAGTTGTTCTTCGGTGGATTCTGAAGAATTTGAGCCTGAAGCTCTGGTGGATTCTGGAGTGGCTCATCGTCAAGACAATTCCGAGGTGAAGACGGGGCTGGAAGAGGCACATAGGGGTTGGTTCAATTCAGGCGTGGATTCGCTAGGTAATTGAGAGTATACCTGTGTAATTCCTTTATATCTTCTTAGTGGATTGTTTTGTAGTTGTTGCCCGTGGTTTTTTTGTCACAATTGGAAGAGCTCCAATTGTGATTTTACCACGTTAGAATCGTTGTGTCGATTTATCTTGATTGTTTGATTGTGATTGTTTTATTGCTTTAAATTGATACATAATCACAAATCAATGTCTAGTGGAGTTCTAGATTTTTCAATCACATAAATCAAGTCAATTTTTGAATCGGATGCCGATAAGGCCTTCAATTCACAATCCATAACGAAACATGAACAGGCCTTTTTACGTTAAACATATATAAACACAAATAAGGCAACACACACATGCAATTTAATTCGGATTTTTTCTTAATTATTGATTAAGCTTATTCAACTACGAATTAACGTAAATCAGAGGTCGGGATTGTTACAATTGCATTTACAAAATTTGTACCAACAATATTAAGACGATATTCGAAGGAGATGGAAGCACATTAATGTGTATTTCGAATTATGCACAACAAGTAAGGCTGAATTCAATTTTATTTATGGTATAAAGTGGATTAAGAAACGGGGTATGCATTTTCTATATATGTAGCATTTTATATGATAATGATAATAAAAATTAGATTGCCAAGTATGAATTATTTTCTATTATGTTTTTGAAATTAGTACTATATGAATAATTGCATGCCTATAGCTGTTGTTTCTTGGTAAGAAAGTGTGTCTATAATTGACACGAAATCTTCAAGGAAACATATACTTTTCATATGCCATGAAAGAAACTGTTATGAACAAGTTATGCATTTTTAATTATAATTGTTATTTTAAATTTTGCTTTTTCTATTGCCTAATAAATATAATTTTTTTTAGTATGTGTTTACAATCAATGAGATGTAATTCATAAAAGGAAAATGGCTCATACACCCACTGGGGGTCGACCCCCAGTGAGGTGGCAGTCCATAATTGGACCAAAAAAAAACTGTTTTTTTTTTTTTTTTTTTTTTTTTTTTTTTTTGGGTTTCGGCCAGTGGGGGCGCCACACCTCACTGGGGTGCGACCCCCCACTGGGGGTATGCAGCAGGATTGTTCATAAAATAAGATTTTTGTAACTTTTTGTATTCGATGACTAGAATGTGGGTCAACTATAATTTCTGCCACATTTTGTATGTTATTTGTGAAACACATGATTTTGTTATTTTATTTACATATTATAAATGTCCATAAAACTTTTAAGTTTGATAGGATATTGTTAATATGATTTATTTTAAAATTTTATTAAATTGTTTTTGTGTATATATTGTAAAAATTGATCATGTCGTTATGTGTTCCATATAATTGAATACATTGTAGATGTATAAACTGAATGCATTGTAGTATTGTTGGCTTGCTATCAACATATATCGAATGGTGTATACTGGAATCGTTGGCATCTTTTCACAAATTTATTTTTGGACTTGGGCTAATCATTAATCTATGAATGGGCTTATAAATAGACTTACTTGTTTATATTGCCCTATGTATGCCAAATTGTTATGAATGTAAAAGAAATGGGCCCACTTTTATTATATAAAGACCTAGAATGATGTATTGTTTCATATGCCTGATTTGAAGTGGTTAAACCCATATATTGGATTTAAATCATTGGGTCTAAGGTTTCAAATTTATATTCATGGTTTATTTTAATAAATAGCCCACAAGATTATTTGTGGAAGTTTCAAGAATGTTTTTTTATTTTTTTAAAAAAAAATCAAGCTATGATTTTAATTATAAAAATCATGTATGATTTTTGGTTGGTGAACTCTTGAAGTTTAAGAAAATATAGAGTATATTTATTATATACTTGTTAATTTTCTGAATGTTATTAAATTAGAATTCCTAAATTTATGTAACTTGTATTTAAATGAAAATTTTATATTGATTGGTCAATTTATGATTCAAAACAACTACAAGCACAAATCATGAAACTTAAGCTATAAGTGTTGGTTCTTCATAGCTTTTAGTATTTACTGCTTAAGTCCCACAATTTAATTTTTCAAAATTATTGAGAATGGTTAGTTTATATGTTTAAGTGGGTATCCAATTATTTGAAAGGATACAAAGGCACTTGTTTGAACACTTAGCATTAAAACTATGGCTTAGAGTAAATAAAGATTACTCTTGGTGGGGGTTTATCTCTTAGAATTAAAGAGATGATTTTTACAATTTGTTAATCTCTTGTAACAAAAGAGATGGAGTGACATGGTATTTTTGTCATGGACTTTTCTTGAATTTTTCAAGATGCAAACTCATCATCAACATGAGTTGATAGTTATGACAATGATTGTTAGTCCAGACATATTGATCACGTCATAAACTGTGACAATACATAGCTATGCAAGAATTTGGTTCACGTGACTGTGAATTATCTAAGAAATACTTGCAAGGGATTTGATGTGAGATCATCAAAAGGGATGGGTCTTAAGCCCAAGTAACATATTACTCCTGGTAGAAACTCGACTCAATGCTTGAAGAAACATTAAGTCCTTGAATTCAATGAGCTCAAGTACACCATACGTCGTGATTGCAAGCACTTAAATTTTTATTTTTATAACCATCTCAAGGTAAAGTGTTTGGGACTTGTAATGCAAAAGAGGAGGTTGAGCTACTTAGCTTTTAATAAGTTTACAATGGTGAGTTCGGGTACTATAGTTATAGGTTACTCTTAGTAAACTTATCTAAGTACACCATACGTCGTGATTGCAAGCACTTAAATTTTTATTTCTATAACAGTCCCAAGTTGGGACTTGTAATGCAAAAGAGCAGGTTGAGCTACTTAGCTCTTAATAATAAGTTTACAACGGTGAGTTCGGGTATTATAGTTATAGGGTACTCTTAGTAAACTTATCTATATGAGTGTAGAAAGTGGTGCCGCTTTATATGAGTCTAAGAGCTTGACTCTAGAGCGCTCATGAAACGGGATATAGACATAAGGCCAATCTACGTGTCGGCTTTTTGAATTACCTAAAGAGAAGAAAATTTGTGTGTGAGACGTGTCCGGTTAATCGCATCAGATTGCTAGTTCAAAGATAAGTTTACTATGCTATCTTGATTAACTTTGATGTATTTTCACTTAGGCCCCATTTGGTAGAGCTGTGAGAAAGTGATTATAAATTATAACTTAACAGATTATAACTTATAACTGTGAGTATAAACTGATAACATGCTTGGTATAGCTGTGGAATTATAGATTTAAGCAGCAGAGTAGCGTTTGGTAAATAAGCTATAAAATAACTTTTTGCTGTGTAATTATCAAAAATTGTAATTTTGTCATTTTCTTCACTTTAAATTTTGAAAAAATTATTTCATTAATGGAAGTTGATTAATTAGTGCGTAATTTGGTATATTTTTACATTACCTCAAATTTATTTTTTTATTTTTATTTTTCACAAGGGAACAAAAAAATGTCATTGCAATAAAAATACAATAAATTACTATTAAGGCAATAAAAGTAAAACTTCCTAGATATTTAAAGAACTCTTATTCGTCTGCAAATTGACATACAAATATTATGTCTCTTTACATATTTTATAAGATTTAGCTTATATTTTCACAATTCATATTAACCGTATTGTGTTGATTTCTGCATAGCTTTAGCTCCAAGAGTCATGCTTTTTATCATATAATCAATTATATGTTGCCTACTGCTTCATCCTTGCAAGATATTTTTCTTATTTTTAAGGTACTTAATTTTTCTACACATTTCTGAGGATGTAAAAAGTTCTTCTGATATACAACACAATACATTGTTTTTTATAAAAACAGGAAGCCAATACAAGATATGTATTCTGATTCGACAACTATTATAATAATTATTGTCACTATATTATTTGCTGGAGAAAGCAGGAGAATAGTGACAGATAAAATTATATAAACCTCCCACATCATATCTAAAATTAAGAGGACAAAAATGGTTAACCATTTACACTGGCTCATCAGAGAAGACTAGGAGGTATGGAGCATTTTAATGATTAAATACCTTCATCACATGACCACGTAAAGGATCGGTAAATGCGAAATGAAGTATAATGTAGCAAGGTTGGCTTGTCATAAATGTCATGTTCATTTTTTAAAGTGGTAACTATGCATTAAGTTTATGATAGCAGCTCAACTACAGTATAAAAAATCAGAAACCTAAGATAATGAAAACTGGAAAGTAGTGAAGTTAAAAACAAACACTCAGCAAAGTGCATTAGTTTTCTCAGGATCCAATCAGAAACACTGTAGAAGCTGATGTTGAACATATAAGTCAATTTCTTCCACCACCACCACCGCCACCACCAAATAAATAAATAAAAAATAAACCACCCAAACCAGACAGAGAGAGAGGGAGGTAGGCCTTATTACATCTCTTAATTGGAGATCCAATCGAACATCTGGCCTGTCTAAACCATATTGACTCATTACTTCAGCATATGTAAGCCTCGGGAAAGGATTGGGTAGCTGAGTAACTTTGATCTCCAGAAAAACCTACAATAAGCATATCTAATCAAACCTCATAGTGACATCCATCAAATCAAGTTTCAGGAACATAAAAATAAACTAAATTAATAAAAGAATTATATAACATATAATTTATAACTTGATGCAACAAGCTCTGCTATGTGCAAGCAATCTCCTGGCCTGGACTCTACAATGTAATCAATAGTGTGCACACCAACTTCATGCACTAACAAGTTTGGTTCACTACAAACCAAGGTTGAGAAAAATTTTAAGGTTCAAAAGGTGAGCTCAGGCCATAAGACAAGCCGAGATGGGCTCTGCTCAAGAGGAATTTGACCCACTCATTTCTAGGAAAAAATGTACAGATTGGATCAAGTTAGATTATGGCCTCAATAGTCTATTCCTTAGTAAATGCTATAGATTTTAGCAGCTAGATTTGGGTTTGAAGCTTTGAAAACCTTGCAATATATCAATTGAAACTCTTTCATCCCATCTACAGACATACTCTGAGCTGAAGTAAAGCCAACCCAAGCCTATCTGTGTCCAAAAAAAATTCTAGTGATTAGGCATCAGCCTAAGCAAACCTTAAAAGATTTCATATCACAATGCTGACAAATGCCACATAAAATTAATTTGGGTCAAGTTAATTCATTAGCAGCTTTTAGTCTCAGAAAATTTTTGGCCTGTCAAAGGGTATTTTGAGATAATTTGATTGGATTCATTTTTCTCTATCTTATTTGTTGATCTTTTATCAGGGTGCTTCCCAAATCTAATTAGAATTTTAACCACCTGACAACTAACTTAATAACTTGTCTAATCAAATCTTCATTGAGCCTCAGCATGTTCTCCAAAGGGGTGAAAGCCGTCTCCATATCCAGTTGTGTAAACTCAGGCTGTCTATTTGCCCTAAGATCTTCATCTCGAAAACATCTGCAAACGAAGAAAACCAAAATGAATTTCTACCATAATTTTGGTAGGATGTCTGCCCATGAAAATCTAATTTTGATTCTTTTTCTACTATCTAACAGGAAAATGTTTATTCTTCTATTCCCAGTATGTTGGATCGTTTTGTAGGTCAAATCTTTTTGTATACTCTCTTTCATTGTTGAAATTAGTACACCCATCATTTTGGTATTCAAGAAAATCACATTTTTACACATAAAAATTGTCGATAAAAAAGAAAAGGAACAAAAGAGGAGGTAAAAAATTAAAAAATAAAAAAGATCTAAAAGTTGAAATGTTTATTGGCAGAGTGCAGAAATCACACCTAGCACAAGCAACTAGCAGAGCAGTCGAACCAGATTTTGCCCAATATATACAGAGACAAAACAATTATAATAGCTCAGTCAGTTATAGAGAACCAAATTTATGCATTTAAAATTGAAAAACATCTAAGGATTAAATAAATAAATAACAGATCACAGTAAAAGGGGGGTTTTCAACCCTAATCAGAGAGTGAAGAAAAGAGAGAGGCGTTTTCAACCCTAATGAAATCATGAAATCAACCCTAATCGATGAAATCAACCCTATGTATTGTATATAACTTCTCAGTTATGAAATCAACCCTAATCGATGTCCATATATATATATATATGTATTTGTATATATCACAGTCATGAAATGTTACCTTTTCGGTGCAAATGAACGGAAAACAGGGGACAACTGTTCTTGGAGAGGTAGGCGACTGTTCTATAAGCACCAATCTGCTGCGATCAAGAGGCGGACGACAGTTCTTCTTGGTCGCCAGAGAGGAGAGGAGAGGAGAGGAGAAGAAGAGATGAGAGTGTGAGAAGCGAGACTGTGTTTAGGGCAACAGACATAACGGGTATATATAATGGCAGTTTCGTAAATATTGAAGTTTGAGAGGGGCGTTTAAGTCATTTAATTCCCCAATCCCGACAGCACGCTTAAGTCCAAATCCGCACCCCATCATCAACTTTTGAAATAAGTTAAAAATAACTTGGTTTAAATTATAATTTGGTAATTTAAGTTGTACCAAATATATTATTTTAGCTTAAATTAAGTTAAAAGTTAAAATAATCAGTTTATAAGCCTTACCAAACAAGCTCTAGGTGAATAATTCAAATCAAAAGATATCTTTATTTATTCATAAATTTTCTTAATCTATCCAAGTTGTTATTTTCATATATTTTGAAAATAGTGGGGAATAGTTGGAACATTTTCATAATATATTTATATATATTTAAATGTATAATATAGTTATATGAATGATTAAAGAGATGTAGCTTTTTGGGTTTAAACCAAAGGGTGTAACCATTAAGTTTAAACAAAAAGGTATCTCTTTTGGATTTAAATTATGGGGTGTAACTATTGAATTTAAATCAAAGGATATGACTCTTGGATTTAAAAGATGTCACTTTTGGATTTAAAGGGTGTCATTTTTGAATTTAAAGGATACGACCTTTGGTATAGGGGATACAAACCCATACCTATATAAAGGCAGAATGAGTTCTCCATTTCCCTATTCACTCCCATAAAAATCAAATTCCCAATAAACCCAATTCAAATTCAATCACAATAACCATGTCCTTGATCCACCACTCTCGTTTCATCGTTAATGGCGTCCAAAGAATGCGAACCCATATCTCCAGTTCTAAAGAGAGAGCAATGATAGTGAGTGTTTTTAAAGATCCAATTTTTTTGGGTTTTTTTATTTCTTAAAATTCAATTATGGGTTGGTGTTTCCTTAGAGAGATCTTATCTGAAGTAGTTATTCCGGGTTTCCATTTAGAAAGAGAGACAGAGAGAGAGAGAGAGAGAGAGAGGGATTTCAGGATCAATATTTCGTGGAATATCTAAAAAATTAAAATATTGATTTGAATTGAGTTTTGAAAACAGTTTTGAATTATGTGTTTGGTTATGAGTTTTGAAAAGTAATAATTATGTTTTTAATTGAGTTTTGAAAAATTGATGTATAATTATGATTTGAAAACTCTAAATAAATAGTACACTCAAATCAATAGGTGGAACCATATTTTGAGAGGCTTTCCAAACGGAGGCCTTATTTTTCTACTTTCATCGTGTGGGTAGAGTTTCACATGACATGGTGTGAGCCGCATCATTCGGTAGAGAGTTTGGGGTCTCTTATTTGGAGATTTGGGATGACTGCTGTAGAAGTGCATAGCAATCACTGTTATGCAGTCAAATGGGCCAATTTCAATAATAGTGTTATATATATTTTTTTGTTATTTAATTATGTGAATCCGTGGTCCTAAACCGATCCAATCCGTATTTAAATGGATTGGTTCGGATTGGTTCCATGATTTAAACGGATTGGATTGGTTCTAATTTTTCAGGAACCGTAGATAACGGATTGGTCCTGATTTTATCCCAATCCGGTCCAATCCGGACCATGCTCACCCCTAGTCTTAGTCATGGCCCTTAGAAAAATTTAGGACAAAAGGATTGGCATGCTCCCAGAGAGAATGGGCTTTTTTTTTGGTCTGAATGGATAGGACTTCAGATATCTCTATTTCACACAAACCATTTTGGGTTTGGGCTTCAAGCTAATATTGATCCAATAAAGAAAAAAAATTCACTAGCCAAAAAAAAAAAGAAAAAAAAAGAGGGATGCTCTATAAACATAAAAAGTAGTATATATAAAGATTTTATACAGAGTCCCGGTTTAGCAAGTGAGTTGGGTTTAAGTTGCGATTAAAAATATATAAAAAGACAAAATATACTAATAAAATGTCACATTTAAATCATAATCATTATACTTATTTTCTTATAAAAAAATTCAAAAAAATCAATTTTTTTTTTTCCAAATTAACCAAAAAATCAGGCTAAAATAATTCTTCCCAAACAAACTGAGAATAATGTGTCTGACTCACGGATTTATCATTTTAAAATAAAAAACTTTTGAAGACACAATTTTAATTATAAAATGCTTATGTCACATCATGTTTTCAAACCACCACCTGAATATGAAAATCTTGTTTTGAAAACACAAGTTCGTAAAATAACTTAAACTTAGAAAAATAAATTTAAGACAATTTTATTGGATAATGAGAGGGTAATTTTTGGGAAAGAATTGGGCCGAGCTGTGAGTTGGGCCCTGCGGCCCAAAGCGTAAAGGACCGTACAGATAACAATTGGTGTTTGATAAAAAAACCATCATTTTAGAGGTGAGCATAATCCAGATCTGACTGGTTTGGGGTAAAATTAGGATCAATTCACGAATTACGATTCCATAAAAATTAAAACCAATCCAAATCATTTAAATCGTAGAATCAATTCGAACAAAACCATTTAAATACGGAATGGTTTAATTTGGGACCATGATTAATCAATTCGATCAAAACCATTTAAATACGGAATTGTTTAATTTGGAACCACGATTTCACACAATAAAAATCATATAATATTATTCTACAAACATTCAACATGTAGCACATAAATATAAGTTTATCCTCTAACAAATAAATATAAGTTCAACATCTAGCAAATAAAATAAAAAAAAAAAACAACAAAAACAACAAAAACAGCAACACAACACAATAATAGCTTAAAAGACATCACCAACGAATAGAGATTATGTTGGAAATCAACTTGTAATATTAATCAATACACATTTCAAGCACTATAAAGAATAAAGATAAACTTGGAAAAATGGAGGACATCACCACTTTATATTACGGTTCTCACCATCATTTACAAATATATATAATTATAAATGCATAATGAGAGATTTATAAATGTTGAGATTGTATGCAATAGGGTGTGTGGTATAATGGTAGAATGAGATAGTAAATGGTTTGAAATAAATCCAAACTAAATCTACCGAATTAGACTGAATTGGTTTGAATTGTGAATTTTTCAGTTCACCTACTCACCTCTACACCATGTGTTCCATGATGTACCAAAAAAAAAAAGAAAAAGAAAAAAGAAATTTAGGTGATGGTTTTGGTCTTGGTGGCCATAACGTCACAACCATGATAGATTATTAATTGTCTAAAAAAATTTAAGTTATTAAGAATGGACATGAATTGAATCATAAGAATGGATGATGTTCAAATAAATAAATAAAAAAAATAAAATAGAATAAAATAAAAAAAATCATAAGAATGGGCTGTGACGAATATTATGGGCCAATAACCCAGCTAGACTGTTTAGTCCGCCAACAATGGGCCTGTGACCAATCTCATGAGATTGTATGTCTTCAAATTCAAGATAGCTTAGTGGAGATCATTTAAGGTGTCCATCAACAATATTCTACAATAAAAAAATGAGTTAATTATTTAAAAATCTCATTTATAAATGTCACAGTAGCTTAGATTCTATCTAAAATTTTTTGAACTAATAAGTCCTATTTAATAAAACTGAGAATATTATTAATTTTTTTTTTAATTTTTAAAACTAAGAACATTATCAATTTTGAATAATAATTTTTGAGAATACTACATCTTCCAAACTCAGCTCAAAAGCTCAGTTAATTGCTAAGCCAGCCCTAGCAACAGACATTGCAGCCACATCTACATCGGCTCAGTTGGTTACAAAGTCAATTAGCTTAGGAGTTGGTTAGTGCGTATGTAACTAGTGTATCAGTAGTTTGTTATAACAAACTCCCAACTGATATATATGATTGTAACCTGTAAAAGTATATTCATTGAATAGTAATTGTTTCTTGAATCTCAATTTCTTGATGGTATCAGAGCTTTAAAGCTCTTATGAGCACAGATCCTATAAGCACAGATCTATGGCCAATCTATTTTTTTCTTCTTTGATTCCATCTAATCTCACAATGTTAATCTCTCTTTCTTCATTTATTACTGTGAAACTTGATTCTAGTAACTTTGTGATTTGGAAAAGCCAACTTCAGAATATTCTCAAAGCTACAGATCTACTTGGATATGTTGATGGCACAATCTCATGTCCTCTTGTTACTATCACAGATTCAACTGGAACAGAGGTCTCCAATTCTGATCGAATTTAATGGAGTCTTATTGATGCTCACCTCTTAAGTTGTATTACTGCAACTCTATCTCCTTCAATCTACTCAACTGTGTTGCAATGTCAACATTTATCTAAAATCTGGTTTGCTTTGCACAAGCGTTTTACTACACTTTCCAGATCACACATCTATCAGTTGAAGAACAAATTTAACACTGTTGCGAAGAAGACAGATTCAATGGAAGCATATTTGTTCAAAATCAAAGAAATTGTGAATTAGTTAGCTCTTGCTTCAGTCATCATCAATGATAAAGATCTTGTTTTACTCACACTAAATGGTCTTCCTCATGAATTTGATGCTTTTACCACCTCTATTCGATCTCGATCTGAACCAATCACCATGGATGAGTTGTCCTCTTTGCTTTGTTCTGAAGCCATACAAATGGAGTCAAAAACTAAAAAGAATATCTTAGAACCTACAGCTCAGCTTACTTGGTTTCATTTTTTCAAAAACACTTTTAAGAAAATTCTACTTCCTTATTTTTCGTATTTTTTTGTTTTTACTGAATTTTTTTAATATTTTAAGCAATTTTTTTCCTTTTTAGACACACCTAATATTTTGAAAAATTCACTAAATACCAAAAATACAAAAAAAATACAAGAATTTAGTACATTTTTTTATATTTTTATGTATTTATTAATTTTTTTAAATATTTTTTCACAAATTTTTTACTTTTTAAATGCATCTAAGTAAGGTGCATCTAAAAAATTAAAAAAAATGTTTAAAATTTTAAAAATATTCACTAAAAACAAAAAAACACGAAAACCAAAAAACTTAGTTTTCAAAAAACTTAATCCAGAAAATTCAAACCCAACACTAGCTT